ATTATATAATAAATCAACAGTGGCAGATCCAGGATTTCGAAAGAGGTGAACGAGGGAGGGACTTTCACACACCGAGGAACCGCCCACCTCAGCCCCACCATGGATGGGGCTGAGGCAAGAAAATTTATGATTAGGGCATCTCTAGATGGCCGGAAATTACGCTCTCGCAATTCAATTTGAATATATTTTACTTTTTTTTTCCTTAAAAAAATGGACTGGGGGGGGGGCCTTGAATCCACCTCTGCTCAAAACATTCTTTATCGAGAAAGTCATAATCACGAAAAATGGACATGAAAAACTAGATCACATCCTTAAAACAAACATCAGTCACTAAGACATACATCAGGAGCCGACTCGATGGAGTTTAATGTCATACCCAGGGCACAGATCTGTTTTGAAAGGTGGAGGGGGAGGGCATTTTGTGAGTCGACACCCACCTCAGCCTCCCCCCACCATGGGTGGAGCTGAGGTGAGAAAATTTGAGGAAATAGTACCTCTAGATGGCCAGAAATGACACTTTTAGTAAAATTCATCATCATCACATCACCATTAGTCAAAATGAAGCGCCAAAAAAAAATTCTCATGATCTTGTATCAGGGATTTTTTTCAACCATAGAGATCTTATTAATGTCTGTGTGATATACCATAGAAAACAAAGCTTAAAAACATTGTCTTTGAGTATGTACTTTAGATAGGCATACTCCAAAAACGTGATTTCACAATCACCTCAGCCCCACCATGGCTGGGGCTGAGGTGAGAAAATTTGAGGAAATAGTACTACCTCTCGAGTTGGCCGGAAATGACACTTTTATATAGTAAAATTCATCATCATCACATCACCATTATAGTCAAAATGAAACGCCAACAAATTTCTCATGATCTTTTATCAAGGATCTACTTAATATCCAGGACAACTTAGGCCTAACTATAGCTTAATAAGCTTTAACTATATATACTATAATAATTATTATGATCAACAAATCAAAACTTTTTTCGCATTTAGCACAATTTTCTTCACTTTTTATTGCTATTAATATTATTATTAATTATTACTATCGTAATCAACATTATTGTTATTATTATTATTACTATTAGTAGTAGTATTATTAAACAAAAATTTAAAGAAACTTGCAAAAGTATAAAAACGAAATTGAACCACAGTATAGCATTTCTATCTTTAAAGACCTGGCCTGAGATTTATGGATTTAGGTCTATGTGTTCTATTAGGCCTATGTATAACGTTTACTGATGCATATTTACATGTTTTAGAAGATTTATTTTGAGTGATCCCAGGAAAGAATGTGTATTGGCTCAAGAATAAGCTTTAAAATTTTAACACTGTGTACAAGGGGGGGGGGGTCTCCCACGGGCCCCCCTCTGGATACGTCCCTGCACTGAAGTTTAGCACTCTGAACCAAACTATTTAAAAAATCAGAAATATTGCTCGGTGCTAAAATGTTCACATCTCATGTGAGTAGACAGAAATCCAACAAACATACATGAATTCATATTTATCAACAGCAATTTAAATAACAAAGTAGGTATGTGCATTTAATTGATAAATCTTAGTGCCTTATATTTGTCAATGTCAGTCAAAGAAGCACCTGCAGCATGCAACATTGATCTCACTTTCTTCCATTCAATTTCAAATTCTTTATTTGACATTCTAATGTCAGGAGAATGTGCCAGCTTGTTCCTGTAGTCGTGAATATCCACCAAGTTAGGAAGTCTATATGGGTTTTTCCAAAATGATGCTGGAATGGTAACGCAGCAGTTACGAATTATTAAATACATGATGGAGATATCGAACGTATCAATGTCAGCCGATGGTGTAAACATTTTCGACTTCTGCTCTTTACTGATATTTTTCCATACATTTTGAAAGCTACCTTTCCTTTTCTCAGACATCAGATAATTCCCAACATCGTTCTTGTTAATTTTATTAACCTCCAATATGTAATTTGCCATAGTTGCAGTTCCAACAACAACCACAGCCGATAAAACAGCCTGGAAATTCTTGAATTCTTCAATGACAGTGTGCCCAAAACCTATTTCTGGTGAAAAAAAAAAAAAAAAAATTTAACTGTGTATCAATTTTCAATTTGTCATAATTAAAATTATGACTTAAATGCAACTTTCATTTTGATGTTATAATCAGCAGCAACAACATCAGCAGCAGCAATTGAATCTGCAACAGAATCAGTATTTGCAGCATTAGAATCATTATAAGCAGCAGAAACAGCATTAGTTGATGAGCATCAGCAGCAGCATCAGAATCAGCAGCAGTAGATTCAGCAACAGAATCAACATCAGCAGCAAAATTAGCGATACACTCAGTAGCATCAAAACAATCAGTAGCAGGAGATTCAGGAACAAAATCAGCAAAAGCAGCAGATACGCATGAGCAATAGAATCGGCACCAGTAGCAGTAGTCTCTGCATCAGAATCAGCAATAGAATCGGCATCAGAAATAGAATCAGCAGCAACAGCAATAGAATCCGCAGTAAAATCAGCACCAACAACAGTTCAGCATTAGCAGCAGCTGCTATTAATATTGACAAATGACTTACCTTCCATGGCTCCATCCTTGTAATGCCATGGGTCGCGGTAATTCTCGATGTCTTCAACAGGAACCCCAACACCTGTAAATATTACTGTGAGTTCCTTCCACTGGTTATCAAACTCCTCCTCTGCGACACTGTTGCTGTAACTGCCGTCTAGAACAGTTTTTTTATATTGATAGATTCGGACAAGATTAGCCAGCTCAGAACTGTCATCAATCGGAGGGTTCTCCCAGAAGCCTTCTGCGTTGGTGTTGTGGCAACAGTAGCGAATTAACTTCATCATGATTTCCAAGTGGAATGCATCAATATTGCTGGTTGATGAAAACACTGTTGTTGAATCATCTCCAAAATCAACATCCTTTAGTAATGCACACCTCTCCCTTGTCAAAAATGGTTTAACTTCCGGTTTGGTAAGGTTAGTTTTGTCTAGAAAGTACCTCCGTAGTTCTTTGGTTCCACGACCAACAATCAGTGTCTGAAGTGCCAGAAAATTCAGGGTTCCTTGTGTAGAGTTATCATCAAAATCTATAGAGCAAAATAATAAAATTTTCGGCTTTAATAGCTATCATATTCACTTCCATTATATAATGAAACTCCTCATCTAGGCATTATGACCTCCGAGTTGTCTTTTCCACTGCAATAAAATATAGAATTGAATACATCAGAGGTGGAGTCAAAAGGTTTTTGGTGGTTGTGGAAAGCACAAGTAAAAAAGGCTTATGGTCCAAGAGGGAGGGTTATGTTAGAGTGTTCCCCAAAGCCATGAAATGAAAAGCCAAAAAATTTCTCATGATCTTTTATTAATTATGTGGTCATGTGACCTATTGGTAGCCATATTGGATCTCCCATTTTTCATCAAATTTTTTTAAAAAGCTACTTTTTTTTTTAAAGAAATTTTTGTGGGATATGTTTTTTTTCACTGGATTATGATGTAGATACATAAAAATATAAAAAGTTTGAATTATTTTCATAATTTGAAAAAAAAATACAAACAAATCAACGATTTTTGTCAAAATCATGAAAAAACATGAATTTTAAAAAAAAAAATCACATTTCTATTAGTATGTGGTTATTTCAAAATTCTTTTTGCATGCTAGGATGGGCAAGAGGTTGGCCTATGGGGTGGGCACAATTTGGAAATAGGGGATTGCCTTCTCTTAGGCTGCTTGGTTAAATTGCCCCTAGGGCCTATACTCGTCCCTTCCACCGTCAGAATATACAGAGCTCGGCCTAGGCCTAGCCCAGGATTGAGCAAGGCCCTTCAAATCCACAAATTCATCTGAAGAATCACTATTGGAACTATAGTCAGCTGATGGAAATGTATTCACTGAACGTGAGTGACTCACAGTCGTCTTCACTGTCTCTATTAGCAAAAATCTGATCCACAAATTCATCAACATTATAACACTTCTTTCGAGGCTGTGCACCCGCCATCTTCTTGGTAAACACAATTTTTTATGAGGAAAGATATTCTAGTTGATAGAAAAACTACATAGGGCAGATGTTGGTACAAGAAAATAGAGAATAATTTTTCATACCCCTGGTAATACCAGGGGTATCCCCAGTAGTACCAGGGGTACACAGCGAAAGGGTTAAAATATTAACACTGGATACATCTATGTTTCCAAAATAAAATATAAAACCATTTTCATAAATAATTATATTCTTATACCAACCTGTTGAGAAGAGTCGTTTGATGCGAGTCGTTGAAACTGACTTTCTTTTTCCACATGGCACACTATTTTTTTTCAAACATTCCTCAAGTTTATGCAGCGGTCGCAACGTAGGTTCACAGGCATTACAAAGGACACGTAACTCATAGCCGACTCCTTCTGTAGTAACATACACAGTTTTCAATTGCTGTCGGAGGTAACTTAATACCTGATAAAAATAAAATAAAGTAAAATAATACTGATAATTTTTATAGGTGCATATGCAATCAAGACCCCTAAATGGCCCCCAATCAATAAAAGAGAGACATTCCTTTTCTGATCACCCAAATAAAAAAAGTTCTCACAATCTCCAAAGCTCTGATAAGGGCAGCATAATAGAAGCAGTAGAGTGTGTTGGCCCATACAAAAAAGATCTTTTAAGCAATCAATCAAAAATTCAAAATTATAAACGTTGGTCTAAAGGCAGGAATGTAGGTTAGGGTGTGGGAGGTCCTTGGCACAATTCCCAGATGGGGCTGTTATTTTTTTCTCTAAAAAATAGAACTAGACTTGTGCCACTAGTTGTTCCTCCAAAAAATAGATAAAAATCAATCAATCAGCAAAGAAGCACAGTCAATCAGCAAAAAAAGCACAATCAGCCCGATATTCCTAAAGCTCCTCATCGGAGCCAAAAAAAAAGGTAAAAATAGTACAATACTTTTCAAGGAGTACAACCTGATATTGATTATAAATCCATTGGACAAACTTCAGCACCGATGTAGTTGTAGATGCAATCCAAACAGCTGTTAACTTTGACCCCCATCAGGCATTCTAAGTCTTCCCCCGTACCACAGTTGGACAATTTTTGCACACCCACTTACTCTCCCTACTGCAATTGTACTGAATATACCATAAAAATCCCACAAAATCCATAAACATTTAGTAAAATCCCTTCACTTAAAACTAGTTACTGTATTTAAAAAACCTATAGAAAAGTTTGAATCAAAGATTTGTTGATAAGCAGTTGCTAAAGATTGGGAATCTGTCTTGAAGCATTAGCAAGTGGGTCTAATGGCTTGACAAAAGACGTTTAAAGAAGTATTAATAAAGAAAATTACCATTAAGTTTTTCATAACCTCCTTAATTTCTATTTAAAAAATGACTAAAATGAACAGCATTTGCTTATGGAAACTTACCTCCATGCAGACGCTAGGATGTGGTTCGAGAGTTTCTTCATTGCCATGTTCATCAACATTTATCATACGTGATATTTCAATCTGTTTATAAGACAAAACAACACACAGGATACTTTATTCATCAAATGTCTGCACATACCAATAAATATAAATACACAAATTTCTATCTAAAGCTTGGCACACACTCTGCTCTACGAATCCAAATCCACCCCCTGAGAGCGCCGACGATGCGACGCCGCCTGCTAATTTCAGTGGCTTGTGGTGTTTCCCACTGATTCGGGCTAGCCGACAAATGCAGGCTGTAGTAATTGCCCAGCTTAAGAGCTGTTGTGGATATGACGTATAGCTGTCTATCAATTCATGATTTATTTGCCAAAAAAATTACACTAAACTGCCTGACCTGGTCTGACAATGTTTTACTGGCACAAAAATAGCACAACATCCCAAGCAATTTAGGCTGCAATGTACTGTAATATACATTATATGAATTAGTATATATAAATATATTTCTTATACCATAATTCTACATTGACAGTTTTATTACATTAATATAATTATCATGCTTAACCTTTAGCAACGCATCTTACCTTCAATGCATGCCTGTTCTTGATTTTGACAGCTCCTAGACTCACTACATGCTCATCATCTAAGTCAAAGTCACTACGATTTCGAAACAATTCCACATGATCACCACTCCTACCTTTGTCATTCATCAAGTCTAAAAATGAAACGACCAGCAAATTGTAGACAGCATCCGGTAGGAAGTCGATAGGCGTCACATAAATCGATACCGTCTGCTGCTCGTCTTCCTTAGCTTCCAAGCCCTCTTTATTGAATTGCATCCGAGTGGGAACCATGAATATTCTGTTACCAGGTTGAGATCCCTTTGAAAACATGAGCATTGATGTGGCATATTATGAATCTCAAAAAGGTTTGAAAATTTATGCACAAGAATTATGCACATACATATTAAGAAAGAGTTACTTCTGCTAAATGATAAGAAGAAGCTTACCTTTTGTTTCTCAAACAGCAATCCAAACTTCTTCATTAGTTCTACAAAAACATCAAAGTTGCTGGCATCTTTCTCTATCTCAAATCGCCACAAATGACGTAGCAATTGCTCTTGTAGAATTCCCTCACTGTCGAGCCTATAGTAGGGTCAATCTGACATGTGACCTCAAAAAAATTGCAAGAAAACGTTTTTTGATGTTTTTCTGTAGAATGAGGTCTAGAGAAAAACATATCAAAAGTTGGCAAAAATCGGAGCACCGGAAAATGGTTTTTCCAAGATGGCTGCCAAAATGGTGCCAATACCTTAAAAATAGCTATAAATCTGGCAATTTTCTCTTGGAGTCGTGAATTTTGTCCCTAAACTGATGTTTATGGGCCAAAAACTTGTTAGAAGACTCAGAATATGTTTTGATCGATAATGAACAAATTCAAATGACATCCAAAATGGCCGTTTTATATATATTTTTTTGTATAACTATAAATCATAAACTAGTGATTCTACAGTGATATTTTCAGTGGCTGTGTTTTCGTCATAGAATATACCGGTGCCATTTAGTGAAAAAGATTCCAAGCGGTGTTTTAATAAAATATAGAGTTCAAAATGGAGTCAATACCTATAACAGCTATTAAGCACTCTTAGGGAGCCATGATTTGGATATTATAAATAGTGAATAATTTCAATATTCATAGCAGAGAACAAAATGGGAAAAAAAAACAAATAAAGCTGATAGATATGAATGGTAACTAGACCGTAATGGTGCATTTTCCTTTACTTTGAGGGAATAGCCCTCCAGGATACTAAGAATCATATCTCCACAGAGTCACAATCTCATAAAATAAAGTCATCAAGTGGAACAGAGAACAATAAATAATAAAGCAATATGAATTAAATTAACGAACGGTAAAACGAAAAGTTGTTACCAGTAGGCCCACTTGTTTGTAGAAGCGACGGGTATTTATTACACTGCTGTTTTACTGTCAATATTCAATTTCGTCATCGTCATCTGAAAATGTATATTGTGATATATTGTCACAGTTGGAAAGTTGGCAATGTCCACAAGCTGCAGTGCATTCCAGCCCATGTTTTCTGCAACTACATTTGGTTGTGCTACTTCTTGCAGAGCAGTTACATCGGATTATTTTGAGTAGTGTGTCAGGTGCTGGTTTATTGTCCGTCATTTTTTGAACTAGTTTGTCGCCTTTTATATCCCAGCCCCATTCAGCATGATCCATACCACTGTCTGTGCCCATCCACTGCATGACTTGCAAATATGTTCGCCGAGAGTGAAATTTTGTGGCCGAGGTTGTTGGAGGCAGTTTTTCAGGTTTTACAAAAGTCTTTGCTGTGACCACTTTCTTGCAAAGGAAATTGTAACGTAAGGATACGAGAGACTGAGTTTGGGTCCCATTAAACGGTGATACCATAACTTTGCATCCAGTTGCTTCTAATGTAAGCTGATCTTCCTTTGGTGCGCAAAATATTTTGGAACTAGCACGCAGGACAGGGTCACATTTAGTAACTTTATAAAATACAGACTTTTTGCCAATCCCATAGATTATTGAAGTTGTATCACAACCAGAGAATGCATCTGCAAACAACAGATCACGGCACATATCATCACCTAGTATTTGTTTCAGAACCTTGATGTTATAAGCGTATGGATTCTCTTTGTCTTGTCGGACCGAAAGTAGAGGTCCCTACAATCCTTTGTTCCGTAATAAAGTAACAGGACCAGCAGATCTGTGTCTTCTCCAATGAGGGTTGTTGACTTGTAGGATGACATTGTAACAGCTGCTTTTACTATATCCACATCTGCATCTCCTTCAGCTTGTATTACATGGCAGCCTTTCTGACGCAGGCGGGTTGCAATCAGATGGATAAGTGCCTGTTTGTTCATATCATTTGAGAGGAAATATTCTTTTTTTCCAACAAATTTTGTTGAATCTGTTATACTGACCTTATTTGTAACTCGAGTTTTTCGTCGTTGATGTACATTGTCTTTGTATTGGCCCTCCATTGTATCCGTAAAATACTATGGTGGCCTGGCCACATAGTTTGAGAGTAAAAGATGCGTAGGTATCTGCAATTGAAGTATATGTGTTCCCTTCTCTCCATTTTAATCTGTGGATAAGAGAGCCTCCATCAAGAACACAATGATCCGTTTTGGGGATGGAACGATGTACTGCAGCGTCTGATGAAGTGACGTGGTTTCGTAGTGGATTCAGAAGTTGTGCCTTTTCAGGCTTACGCAAAATATGCTTTGCTTCAAACAAAGATGGGGGATATGGTGACAGTTCGTATTTCATTACCTCATCTAGGCAGAGATCCCCAGATTGCGATACTACCAAGAACCTTTGAAACAAGAGAGCTGGATCAATGGTTTGATCCTCAGACACTTTGATGGCACGAGCTGATGCTAGCGTCTTGGCCTTATTCTTGCGTCTGTATGAATATGGAAAGACCCACTGTCCTTCCATATTGTTAACTGTTTCTTCACCTATGGTGAAAAGTTCTTCAACATCTACGTCTTTATCAGCATTTATTCCTGTGATAATTATTCTCATTGTCGGCTCCTCTGAGA